CCAAATTCGAGATGTGTTTTTTAAATTCAACTTTAATTCTATTATCTTGAAATTAATATTTTCTTTAATTTTATGGCCTTTTATATTTTAAAATCCATTTCGATAATGGTTTCATAACATTTAATGGGATCCTATTCTATTGTTTATTTAACAAATAAGGTCTTGAAAATTTAACGTTACAAAGTTAGAATAAGACAAAACTAGATTTATCATTTTTTGAAATTTTTGCATTTTAAAACTACCTTAGGACTAAAATGTTGTGAAATGCTGATTTTGGAACCTCGATGAAGTGTTTTTTGCTATCCATCTGTACAAAGAGCTCCTTTTATAAGAATATCTTGATCTCATTATATTTGGAGGCAGTTGTATCTTTTAACATCAAAATTCATCAAATCTACTTCTGTATTCAGTTTATGTTTCAACTTAATGGCAACATAACACCTCGCCAAAAATAGTAGACTGCCTGTCTTACTCCAACTTAACTGATATTAGTTTATTTACACAATTTAATAAACATTGTTCCCCACGCTCCGACAAAATTACAACTACCAAATGAAGACGTAAGTAATAAAAGAAGAGATTTTTCTTGAAGTTTCAAAATATCCCTGACTTCCAGCTTCAATCTTGGTTTCTTTCCTTCGCCATTTTGGGAAGGTGGTGGTGGGGAGGGGGCATGTGAAATGGTTTTTCTGGACTAGAGTTTGGATTTCAAGCATTCCAAAATCCTGATTTAATTTGTTTGAATTCACCGGTGCCTAAATCAAGGAACTTTTCATATGAAAGATTACTTTTGTAACTGAGGAAGCCGATGAATTTGGTTAACAGAAAGTAAAAAAAGTTATATAGATATGCCGATAGCGCTGCAGTAAATAAATAAAAAATAAAGGCAAAAATTTCATTGGATTCGATTAGCATTCGTCTTAATATTTTATTAAATGCTCAAATGATAGTCATATTGTCAGGTTTTCAGTATCCTGTCAATTCAATGTTAATAAAAGTTAATGATTGGTTCATGACAAATTGCACTTTACTTGGCAATTGCACACCTCTATTGGGAAAGCCAATATTCCTTTCTACTCACTGTATTTGAGTAAACAATTTAGATCTTATAATCGTCACCACATACGTTGTATTACGATATTAAACAGCTGTCCGATTTAATTTTTCATGATGGGTAATATGAATTCGGCCCATGTGGACTATTTGCCTCCGTATAAATTCAGTTTTAGAATTTTTTATTAGTCTTCTTAAAATTGAGACAATTTAGTTGTGAATTACATTTAAAGGAGCTTAGGAGCGATTTTCACGGTTGAAAGCTAAAGATATTTTAAGCTAAGTATTTTTCTACAATAATCAGTGGAAGATGTGGGCTTTGGAAACAATTTCCAAAACACTCAAGAGATGTGTAAAATTTTTAATTTTAGATTATATTTTAAAAAAACAACCTACAGGTTTTAATGCATTCAATTGGATTTGACAAATAAATGCTTTACCTTCAGTTATGTCATAAATTATTCGATTTTTACAACTACTTCCGTTGAATTTCTTTAATTTGATGCAAACGCTTTTTTGCACTTACAAAAGGATTGATAGCGTTTTTTTTTGCAATAGGCCAAAATTTTGATTTTGCTAACGAACGAAATTCTTCATTGAGTATGAATATTTTGATCTGCCCAAAGGCTTTTGTTAAGCAAAATATTGTCAAAGGTGCCAAACAAATATTGATAGTTCAAAAATGAACTCTAATTAATGTTAAAAGACTCAAAATTTTATCCATGTCTTTTGGAGGAAAAAATAGACTTGGTGGACTTCATCTATGTAAATTAAAATTATCTTCTACGTAGAGGTCACAATTGGAGTCTCTTGGTTTTTGCAACCATGGCAGGAAATGCAGATGTTCGTTTCTGCAAAAGATTTAAAGCACTTTTTATTAAATCCTTCGTGATTAGCGATCAAAAGATTTAAAGCACTTTTTATTAAATCCTTCGTGATTAGCGATTTAACCTCTTTCCTAGTTGCATGTCCAATTATTTTTGAATCCTATTCAAATTTGTTTGTTGGTCAAACTTGAAACGGGTGTTTGTAGGGTAAAGTAGATTCTTAGAATTATAGGCCCTAAGTTGAGAGTATAGAATTATGTTACGTTGTGGGGTGGGGTGGGGTGGTGGATGGTTGTGTATATCGGTCGTATCCTACAAAGTCTCACATTTTTTCACTATTTACAGATATCAATACGTACTGTGACGTACGTACTGTCACGTACAAGCTAACGTGATTTTCAGCTCATCAATGTAATTCTATTCATTGAAAATTAATTTTACTATGTATACTTAGGTGTGAGAAAGTTTAAAATCTTAGTTTTGTCTACTAAATATTAATTAATTATGATTGACCTTAGTACGAATACTAATGATTCGACAGAAGTTGATCTTGAATATTTGTCGTGGTTCTGTCATTCTGTCTTATTTCTCTCCCTCTACATTGAAAACGGCGCAGTAAATATTTCAAGTGATAAGCAATACAATTTTGGCAATTTGCCAGAACACTCCTGAAAGAGAATTATCTCCTTTTGTTAACTTTAAAACCATATGAATTTTCTGATAAATTAATATTTTATTTTTGCTGCATTTTTAAGAGGAACGGGTTCTGAATTTCACCGTAAACTAACTAATTAGTGATTGTCAGATGTCCATTTTCATTCGAATCAATTAGCCTTTTTAAATTAAACAGTAGCTTCAAATTAAATCGTTTGCAACTGTAAATCTACAAATTTGAAGTCCAGACAAATTATAGACCTGCAAAATATGTCAATGTATTGTAGACTTTCACCCTTCCAGAAAGGAGGACAAACGGTGCTCCCGTTTTAGTACAGTAATTCGATAAATATAAAAAGCGTAGTATTTCACGGTGCTGGAATCAACTACCCATTCGTGGCTTTTATAACACAAGATAAATTAGCGATTGGTTTGATTTTTTTTCAAGAAAAAAAGATTTTAATGCCGTAGTTATAATGTCGCCCATATGTTATGGAGTAAAATTAAAAACGTCAGAGCAGTAATTATATGCTTCATCGGAGACGATTGGCATACTCGGGCTTCCGGAATTGAGATGAATTCAGATACTTGGCCCTCCCCCCCNCCCCCCCCCCCCCCCCCCTCCACCCCGCATCCACCCACCCTCTCCTCGTCTTACTTCACTGAACGCCATTTTCTATTCTCCTCATAATTTAGCCTTAAAAGTTCTTTTGTCACTCATGACCACAATGGGTAAGACCATAACTTCTAACAAGCTTATTTTCCGTTGCCGATAAATGCAAAGCTCACAAATATCCAAGGCTAGTGAAATTGCGTTTTTTTCACTTTTCGTCAGGCTATTTGGGAAGGAATTTATTTATTTCAAAAGGCAGGCGTTTTGATAATTATCATTAGCCCTTTAGGTGACTTTGAATTTCACAGAGGGGAGAAATATGAAAGTGAGAAAAATTCAAGAGGGAGGACAGAAGTGAGATTCACAGATTTAAAATAGACAGATAGATACAAAGGCAGCGAAAAGAGGTAAGATGAGTAATGTGAAAATAGTGAAATATGGCATACAGTGGGGTCACGGCAGTTAGAAGTCAGAAATCAACTGCCGATAAATAGACTTTTTTGCCGTATGGGTATATGTTGCCCAGGGTGCACCAAGTGGATGTAAGTTTAACTCGCACCCCATTTGGGAAAGTATAACGATTGCAAAATGACTAAGATATGTCTACAATCCGGGTGTCTGGATACTACAGGGATCATTAATGCAATGTTCAACTTGTTTATATATCTTATTCAAGTATTTGGCCTTCATAAAATTGGATATATAAAATTGATTTTATTTCCCATAGTATATTCCCCATTCAACTTCCACTTTGATTTTGCGCTCAATTTTCCAATAAGTTGCCGGCTAAACTCTAAGTACTTCTTTCGGTGGCTGCTACAATAATAATTCTGAAAATTGGAATATTCAATAGCTGCAATATATATACTTCCTGCAGAGTTCATTAACAGTAGGTGAAAGGTGGATGATTATTGGAAAGACCTCAGAGTTACTTCCCATTTTGTTTTAGGTCCTTAGGGGAAAAAATTGACTTTTAGGGTGGGTGTCGAGCCTAACAAAGACGCTTAGCTGAAGAAAAACATTTGCGAGTTTAGGTAAGATGAAATATGGGTGTGTTAATTCCTGTCTATTCAGAATGATTGCGTAAAAGCACAAGCAAAAGGATGTATAGGTTAAAATATAAAAGTCAATTTAGATTGCGTTTGAGTTCGTGTTGCAACGATGCTCCCTCGACGAAATATGGGAAATCACATCGTTTTTCATCAACTGAATTGACTATTCGTGGCCGAGCACATTGTTTAGTGAGCATTTCAAAGGTAATATTCATACTTTTATCTCAAGTTTGGCTTCCATTGTAAATTCCCCATGCAAATAAATTATTTTATTTTGCAATAGTACTTAACGTTTGGTGCGAATAGGCTATAGGTTTTATAAGACACAAAACCGCCAGTCGTAAATATTAAGCTATTAGTGATCTTTCTGTTACTGAGTTTATCAAGAACGGCGGCAAAGTTGCTTTAAATTGCCTTGGCGACAAAATGTTAGACTTAAGTCATTAATTTACTGGAAATTTCGATTCAGTACTTAAGGATACTTAACAAAGACTTACCTTTATATATTAGTCTTTTTAATATTAATTGTTGTAATGATCTACACTGTCGCATTAATTCCCTAATATTATATTTTATCATGAGACAATCAATGTCAACTATCCTGGAGATCAATGGCTCCAAGTCTTCACTGATGGGTCATATATAGAAAACCAAGCAAACGTTGGTGCAGGTGTCTTTTCTGAACTCTCCTCTTTCTGCGCAGCAGTTGGACACAATAGATCCGCTTTTGGAAGAGAAATAGAGGCCATTAGGATAGCACTATGCCAATTATGTTGCCTCGATACGAAATTCACCAAGGCGATGATACTTTCGGACTCACAATCAGCAATAAACACAATTGGAAACAGAGAGCCACCCAAAACAACTGAGATAAAGGAATGTAGAAAACTCTATGAGCTGCTGAGAGAGAAAAACAAAACAGTGGTCCTACAATGGATTCCTGGTCACTGTGGCATTAAAGGCAATGAACTTGCTGACACACTTGCTAAGAAGGGGACAACGATTTTGCAATGCATGGACCGACCGATGTCTTCCCACACAATGAAGGTCTTAATCAGGAGAGAATTCCATACCTCAAGGTGCAACGAAATTAAAGCTCGAACAGAGGAGAAACAGTGGACAGTGGCACTCTCCGACATACCCGACTGGCCAAGAATCGAAGCCGTTGATGAATTTAGACTACGTACCGGACACGATTGCTTGGCAAAACACCTTCACAGATTGGGAGTATACGCTCAACCCACATGCCCTCTGTGTAACCTACAGGAGGAAATGGAGAAGACCCACCTGATTCGATGTCCAGCCCTTAAGACAACGACTGAAACCCAGAGATACTTGGAAGCAAGAAGACAGCTAATGAATTGCAATTAATTAACTGCTAGCCATATTTTTTACAAAATGGCGACTGTCTAAAGGAAAAAAGCATTTTGTACCACTTTTTGAGCATTCTTCAATTTTTTAAAATAGTAAAATTAAAACTTTTAGATGGCCGTAGTTCCAACCATAACAAAGTTTCTAAAGAAGACTCTCTTAAAATTTAAAGCAAATCGGTTTGGTAGAATCTGAAAAATCGTGGGTATCAGATTAAAAAAAACAGTTTTGAGAAAAATGCGTTTAAAGTTTCAAGTAAAATCCTTTGCGGCCTAATTCATAAAATTATATATTTAACTTACATTTATTCAATCTATTATTCCTGCTGCATACATCGAACCCTCCTTGACTTCGAAAAAACTATTTTTGGCGTCTTTGGTTTCTATTCGAGCAGTTCTGGCCTCCTTTGATGCGCTTTAGGCTCGTTTCTCGGAGCGGTCAATTCGAGTGTTGTCTCGTCTGATAGCAAATGCATGCGCTTCTAAACCAATTTTCACTCCCATAATCGCCATTATCTTCAATATTGGCATAAATTCTTCATTAAAAATACACACAGCAATAAATATTGCAATTTCAATGATCTGAGACCGGGAATGGATATGCTTTGGAACGAAAGTCCATATCAGCGAGTTTAGAGACTCATTAGTATTTTGAGTTTTCTAACCCAAACATCGAATCCATAACTCTTCTGATGGTAAACTTCGAAGGAATTGTCAACGATTGGACATGATGAATTTAGCGTAGACTATTGCAACTGCATTTTACTGCAATTTTGAACCCGAGTCCGCGTTGAGCCGTTCTAGAAAATATAATCTCGTTGCATGTAGTACACGAAATAAACAAAGAAATTGCTGAAAAGACCGTGAAAAACTCCAAAACACAGTGGCCTTATTTATTATCTATAATTAATTCTTCACCATTTGATTTCCTCAATTTTGCTGCTGATGCACTCGTAACACTGGTGTTTTCCTGTCCCGTAAATCAATTGCCGTGCACTGGTGTTTTCCTGTCCCGTAAATCAATTGCCGTAAAATATATATACATAAATATATGTAAAAATATTGATTGATAGATATAACGGAACAAAAGGGCTTACTAAGAAATATAGATTCAGGTAGTCGGAGAACTCATTATGTCTTTTGTTCGATTAGTTGCAGTCCAACCGATTTGGATGCCTGCTCAGCAAAATATTTATATCTCCAAAACTAATTTGAATTTTGAAAATCCTCTCGTGGACATATTCTTGATTAGTTAAACTATGAAAATATGCAAAAACAAAATTTTTCGAAAATTTTTTTTAGACCGGAATAAGCCCTTAAAGCTCGAACAAAGAAGAAACAGTGGACAGTAGCACTCTCCGACATACCCGACTGGCCAAGAATCGAAGCCGTTGCTGAGTTTAGACTACGTACCGGACACGATTGCTTGGCAAAACACCTTCACAGATTGGGAGTATACACTCAACNTGTCCAGCCCTAAAGACAACGACGGAAAGCCAGAGATACTGGGAAGCAAGAAGACAGCTAATGAATTGCTATTAATTAACTGCTATATATGTACCCCCCCCCACACTTGGGAGAAGCAGAAGTCAGTTTAAGAGCTAATGATAAATATCATAAAGCCTCATGGCAGAAACTCGGGTTGGTGTAAAATTATTTATGCTAAGCTGGGGGTCGGATGGAAATGCACTTTCGCACTCTATGCATATTAGAGGTTTCATAGCTTAGAAGTGCAAATTCAGTAGTCAAATTCGCCATTTCTCGTGAACACGCTGAGATGGCCTGTGTGGTACATACCTTTGCAGAAAATTTATTCAAGAGACATGTANTAAATATCATAAAGCCTCATGGCAGAAACTCGGGTTGGTGTAAAATTATTTATGCTAAGCTGGGGGTCGGATGGAAATGCACTTTCGCACTCTATGTACTCCCCACCCTTGGGGAAAGCTAAAGTCTAATAAGGGGTTAATGATAAATATAAAAAACCTGACATTTGAAATAATAATTTTCAAAAAATAAATATGTAAGAAGAAAGTAATGAACAACTAGGCATTACCTGCTATATTCGATATAAAAATCTAAAAAAATTCGAATTTTTTGCTTTCACATCGCTTGAATATCATTAAAGAACCTTAAGAGGGTAATCATTTTGGTTCATTACGTGAACCCTTTACAGTTTGAATAAAGGATTCATGAATAATTATTTAGCGACATCAAATTACCTTCACTACATTCCAGTAACTGTTCGGCATCATCATAAATTCAAATTACATATTTCCTACCTGGGTACAACTATTGGTTTCTTAAATAATTGCATGTTAATCTAGCCTGCGAGTCATTATAGCATTAAAATTAATTTTGCTGAATCAGCCTCTATTTTATGCTCGCGGTTAGGAATTAAATAGAGAGGAGGAGAATTATCATTTAGCTAGGTAATACCATAAAATCTCGGCCTCGTATGTAAAATTTAAGTACATTGATTTATCAATAAAAAATGTTTCCATTAATTCGAGATACAGATGGGAAGGGAAAAGCTCCAAAACAGCTGAGATAAAGGAATGTAGAAAACTCTATGAGCTGCTGAGAGAGAAGAACAAAACAGTGGTCCTACAATGGATTCCTGGTCACTGTGGCATTAAAGGCAATGAGCTTGCTGAAACACTTGCTAAAAAGGGGACAACAATTTTGTAAGGCAGAGACCGGCCGATGTCTTTCCACACAATGAAGGCCTTAATCAGAAGAGAATTCCAGACCTCAAGGTGCAACAAACTCAAAGCCCCCACCCTTGGGGGAAGCTGAAGTCAAAGTTTAAGGGCTAATAATAAATATCATAAAGCCTGCCATTTGAAATGAATAAATAAATTTATGCACATTTCATAGCGAAGCGGTGTAGCACTTTTTTCTCACTTCACAATGAACAGTCTATGGAAAGAAAGTTATTTTTATTTATGCAATGAAAAAATGTGGTTGACCTTCGTAAGTGTGTTTATCTTTATTGCCTATATAATTTTTAAATGTTTGAGGATGCAACTTTAGCTAGAAATATTATGTTAGCCTCTTCAAAAAAATACTAGAAAACTTTTAATAACCGATGTATTAACGTACTTTTATCCACGTGGTTCTAGAGATCTACATTTTGAAAGAAAGTCTTAGCAGGAACAAAATTAAATCTTCACATATTGCATGATTTATTTTCAACTTCAATGATATAAGTTGAACAGCTTTACAAGTTTCACTTTCTAATCAAAATAAAAGTGTTTATTTATATCAAATTGCAGGCGTCTTGATGGTTATCAT